ATGCACCACCCTTGGCTTATTTCGCCGACCACATTTTATCTGGAAAGTCACGTCTGAGAGACGATCCACTATGTCATATGGGCCTTCCCATGGAGAAGACAACTTAGGAGACTTCCCTTTGGTCTACCTGGGATTATACAACCACACCTTGTCTCCTGGTACAAAGCTGACTTCAGTAGATCTCTTATCATAAGATAACTTCATCGAATCAACAGACGTTTTCAAGTTTGAATGCACTTGATGGTGAATATCATCCATCCTTTCCATTCTGACACACTTTCAGGCAACTCTTCATAAGGTGGGCGTCCTGTTAACAGATCCACTGGCAACCGAAGTTCCCGACCAAACATCAACTTTGCTGGAGTGTATTCAGTGGCTTCATGCTCTGATTTAATATCTATACCTGGTTCCATTTCACCATCATCAACTCCTTCAGTCACTTTGACTTCAGCTTGATGACACCTAATTAATTCAACCTCTCTTTTAACAGTTACCGGAACTTGGCCTTTGTTGTTCCCAAACGTCATTTTATCAAAATTAATTACAAACTTCCTCGGTAGTAAGTTGTCCCATCCTAATATGCATTCGTCTTCATTCGACTAAGCTTTTCTTATAGAGGTCAGTTAAATGTTCTGGAAGAGGATGTCCTTTCTTTATGGTTGTATTTCTTGCCTTAACATTGACTAGCTCTACCTCCTGTCACACACCCAACAATGCCCCTTCCTTAAGTGCCTGCTCACATTTAGAGAAATTAGCCACTATTACATGATGATCTGCTACAAGTGACCTTCCAATCTTCATGTCCACTGGCCTAGATGGGTCTTACACTGCTTCCACAAGCATTGGGCTTCCTTGGGGATGTTCTTTTATTCCACTCCAAATTATCTTCTCTGACATAGGAGTATTGTAGTTGACTTAAGTGCTATGACATGCAAATCAACAGATGCAGCAACACTTACTGGAATTTGGCCTTTGTTGTTCCCAAACGTCATTTTATCAAAATTAACTACACACTTCCTCGGTAGTAAGTATTCCAACCCAAGTATGCATTGGTCTTTGATATCAGCCAAGTATACTTTGTGTCTGTCTTTTATGCCCATGAGCTCAATAGTTACCCACACTGGTCCCCACAACCTTGCAGAATGTCCTGTCACACCACAAAGCTTCTGTGTGGCTTCTCGTACTCCTTCGTGATCTAGCACCCTGATACTCACAATAGAGTTTGCTGGGATGCAGAATCTAAGACAAAGTTGCACTTTT